GGTGATGGGTCGACTCGGGAATTGGTACGAGGCTCTATGTTGACTACTGTATAGGCATTAGGTAGTTTCGGTAGTCTTCCATCGGGCTATGTATCCGGGGAAGGGCCTTTTATATTTGTTTAGGTTTGTTGTCTAGTGTCTGTGTTGTCTAAGTTTGTGTTTTTGGTTTGGGCCACCTGGTCTGTGTTGTTTCTCGTTTAGTGTTTTTAGTTTGGGCCGTTGACCCCTATTTTGTGTAAGCCCAATTATGTTCGGGTATTCTCCCGTGGGGAGCGTTCCATATTCTCCTATTGGGAGCTTTGTGTTTCTTTGTTTGTGTTGTAGTTTTGGTTGGGTTTGAGTCTTGTTTTGGTTTCTAGCTTGGCTAGCTGCGAATCTTGGCGGTCTCGTACCTGTCCTTTCACTTTATTCAGCCATTGGTTGTATCTCTCAGCTATGAGCTGTATTTTGCACGTTTATGCGTTTTGATATATAATATTTCTATCGTTTCGTAAAAAAAAATGGAACAATATAATTATAAATTTATACTTATTATTCACATATGTTTTTTAATATATGATAAACTTTTAACAAAATAATTATTTTATGGAATCACATTATTGTCAAATTGAATGTTTGAATAATTATTTGAGAATGACACAACAATAAGAGATTCTGAAGATGACCTGGATTTAAATGCGACCTTGGACAAACTTACAGTGCTCACATTGAAGCAAGCTACTACCAAAGAATCTACTCCAGACTTCACTGACCTTTGTGATACTTCTCTGCTGCTCAAAGATAACGAAATAACGTGGTAGAAGGTGTTCAACTCGAAAAAGAAAATGCTAATGAATACTAAATCCAAGCTTACCATATGAATAGAAAATTATAAAAATGAAACACACATAAGCCCATAGTGAAGTATGGATGTGTGAATGGTAAAGTAGACATTTCCTTTTTTATCATCTCATTTAGTCCATGATAGTAAATGAGAGACTCGCTTCAAAAAATTGCACACCATAAAGTAAACATTGTACTAAATGCTAACGTGCAAAGTTGGAAAGATTATAATGTTCAATCCCGTCAATTGAAGTTAATGAGACCCTAGTGTATTAAATCTAGAGAGTTTATTATAGGGTACGACGACTTGAAGAATTTTTTTTAGAGCAATATCGAGAAAAAACAGTAAGCATATACAAGTAAGAGTAGCAAATGTGCATTAGAGGCAGAAAATACAACTAAAGTAATAGAAATTTACCGTGAAAATACTGGCTGAGGGGACCTCAAAGCAGATGTGTGCCTAATATACAAATGTAAGCATTAAACTGTTATGATAAGTGGATTTACCACTAATAAATATTATCTCTTCATAGAAATGCGTGCCACTTTGCCTATAAAAGGCAAGATGAGTTGTGTATCTGTTGTACGAAAAGAAGTGGAAATA